TTCGGACGTACGACGCATTTTCACGCAATGATTTGATTTTTCATATTTGATTGTAATTTCGTGCGGTAGATTATCAAAACCCTGCGTCGGAACCTCAATATCCCCGTGTCGTGCAAGATCCGCATCAAAGACAGTCCGAGCGCGACGGTACGCATCCAAATCTGGTGTTTCCAACCTGAAATTCCTAAAAAGATCGACTTTGCCAAAAGCATGGAACAAGCGGGCGCAGCGGCCATTGCGATCCACTGCCGGTATGTTCGTCTTCGATGCAGTGGCTTCCATTCTCGGATGTCTTATGATTTCGTTACTCTCTAGACAACCCCACGAACGTCCTTGCGATGACGCGCACTGGGACGCGCTGCCGTTGCTTCCGTCGGCGCTCAATGTGCCCGTCCTGGCCAACGGCGACATTTACACGCAGGAAGACATTGCCCGCGTGCGCGCCGAGACGGGCTGTTCAGGCGTCCTCATCGCGCGCGGCGCCCTTCATAATGCGTCGTGCTTTCGCAAAGAGGGGCTTCTGCCCTACACCGAGGTATGGACTCTGTGCTTCGTAGTTTCAGACGCGGAATGGATTGTTTTTTTTAATTAGAACATTCGCGAGTTTCTCAAGGTCGCGGCCGAGACAGACAATGTGTTCCAAAACACAAAGTACTCGATTAGCCGCATGCTCCCGTCCAAGGTCAACCACCTCGAGACGCCGTCGGTCGTGCTGCCGTACGACCACGTCACGGTACCAAACCAATCAAACGATCCAGTTGATACACTGATACTTAGGTCCCCGACATTGCAGCGACCAAGTCGAACCGGGAAATGTTTGCACTCTTTGGCCTTGGCGAGTACTTGGACGAGTACACGGCCAAGTACGCTGCCCGCGCGTCCGAGCTGGACGTGTCGGTGGGCCCCAATGCGCCGGACCGCGTCTACGACGACAGCCACGTCTTGAACCGGCAGTTTTTCTGCGACGCGTGCGGGCTCCAGCTGCTGAGTGACCAGGATGTTGCGTTGCATGTGAAGGGCAAGCGCCACAAGAAGAAGCTCCGCGCGCTCGCGAGCCAGTCGGTCTTGGCGTCGGTCGAGTCGTCCAACAAGCGCCTCAAAGTGTCTGCCGACGACGACGACGACACCGCTGCGCTCACGACGCAAGACTAGCTAGAAAACATGGAATAAGCCACGGCATAATGTATCTAGCAACCAAAGTTGCAACGAATTGGACAGCGGAGTACGCAGGACAAGTAAAATGTACAACGTCTTTAATCCTGGAACCCATCGAGAGCTGTCGTGGTTGCGCCAACGGCGCTTCAATTTCCGGTACTCGAATGACTTTTAACAACAGTTGCAGTCCATGACGTGCCACCACGTGAGCTAATGCTGCTATAAGCCACAGCAAGACACGAATGCAACGAGCTACTAGCGTTCAACTGAGCATAATAACTCGCACGGGACCAATCAACTCAAGAATTCAATTATAAAAGTTACGTAAACGAAGCTAGATCGTTGGCATCGCGTGGCTCTCGAGCACGAGACGATGGCGACCGTATACGGTGTCGTAGCGGTGCTTGATGGAGCCCAGTCTTGTCTGCGCCTCGACCATCTTGCGTTCGATCGGCGGCGGCAGCGCGATGGAGATGCCACTGCACGACGCAAGGGCCTCGCCCAATGCGACGTAGCTATGCGCCGACAACTCGAGGCAGTTGATGTCGACGACGGCGCCGACAGAGCTCGTTGTACGAAGCAACATCTCCGCGAGATGGAACGCGCCCTCGTCACCAATGACGCACTCATCAAAAGCAATCTTTCGAGCGCCACCTTGGATCCACTTGCGCAAATATGGCGCCATGTTCTCGAGCGGAGGAGTTGAACTCGAGAACCCGTACCATAAAAACTCGTCGAGGTGGGCCACGTGCGCCAACAAGCCTCGCAACGCAGGTATCGAGAATCTCATTTTGGTGAGCTCGACGCGCCGAAGCGTCAATGCGATTCCGGTTTTGAACCGCGGGTTCAAGATGCGAGCTTTCGTGATCCCGAGCTCTTCCAGCGCCGTGAGCGACGCAAGCATGCCGAAGAGAGCATCGACACTGCATGCAAAGCTGCCGTCGAGGTGGAGCGACCGAAGCTGCGTCGTGTTGAGCTGATGCAGCAGCTGCAGCACTGTAGCCGTCTCCGAGTCTGTATGATGCTCGATGCGCAAGCTCACGAGTTGCGGAAGCGAACGCACGACAGCGACGAGTGGGCCAAGGGTACCGTCGGCGTGGATAGTAAGCTTAAGGCTCGAGAGCGTGGTAGGCTGCGCGAGCAGCTGAGTCAGCCACTCGTTCACAGACTCATCGTCGTGATCACCGACGTCATCGGACAGAGTGATCGCCTTGAAGGACAAGTGCTCCGCGTGCCCTGACGCGAGCCAGCGTGCCAGTGTCGCACGCAAAGCTGCACGTCTCTGTGAGCAAGTAACCACGATGGATCGCGCGGTTGCCATGACGGCCTCGAGGACCGCTGCGTCATCGTTGCAATCAACCACGTTGACAACCTTGAGGTTGGTACATTGGCGCGGGACGTTGCAGAGACGCGTCAATTCGTGATCATCGTCGCAATCGAAGTGGTCGTACTCCGTGACAGTGCCCTTCCATGCGTCGAGCCACGCGACGGCGTCCATGTCCTCGGGCGGGCTGCCATTGTTCGTAAGGACCGCAGGAAAGACCGCCTTTGCAGCAAGCGCAAGACGCTTCGCAGCGGACGTGAGCTCCATGAGATGCGGCAGAGGCCAAATTCTGTCCATGGCTTGCTGCTCGGGCGCCTGACGATCCTCCACAGCACGCTGCGGGGCTTGCAGTAGCTCGTGAAGCGCGGCCAGCGGTGCACTCCGCGCCGAGGCTGGGAGCGCCTCAAGGAAGGCCTTGACGTCCGAAGGCGTCGCCATGCACTGGATGAGGGCAATGAGGATATGGTCCAGTTCCAAGGCCGTCGGCATGGCCACGGCCCGGCGCTGGCTGCTGCGGCTGCTCATCGTCTGTTCGATTGCTTTCTGGTCTGATGATAGATGCTCCCTCAAACTCAATCTCAACAAGCGGAAACACCGTCGTGTATTTTCTCAATTTTCACTTGGCATCATCAGATTTTTCGCGCTCAGAAACAGTGATTGGATAGGCACCATCGCAGCCGACGACGTTCGCTGGGCGCTTTGTCGTCGGCTGTCGGCTGCTTGACGCTGGGCTCTCGAGTACGGCGCGGTGACTGCGACCACGAAGGCTTTCTGGGTGTTGGTGAGACCACGTATGAAAGCCCAAGAGCAAGACACAGCATAACATGAATGCAACGACCTATCGCCGTCACTCGTCCCGATCAACTAATGAATGGGAGATACCAAGTTAGCTAAATCGTTGGCGTCAAGACCGGGACCATCCCTAGAGGCTCGTTTCGAGAACCTTGCGTTGGATTGGCGGCGGTGACGGGATCGCGACGCCACTCCACAACGTCAAGGCGACCGACACAGTGAACGCAGAGAACCGGTGGCAGTTGATGTCGAGAATGCGCCTCTGCACGAAGATCGAGGTCGTCGACGTCTGTGATACTCCCGCTGACGCAGCGATCGTCGAGGCCGTCATGACAATTGCGCGCTCCATGATGGGGACTTGCACCCAGAGAGATTCTCATTTGCTTGCTCCACGCCGAACACGTGACGATTCAGGAGATCTTGCAGACCGATCTCGGTGTCGTCGAATTGAATGACCGACTGAAGCGACATGACCCGAGGCGAGCCGACGAGCCCATGTCGCAAGCACATCAGTGTCGCTCTGGTTGCAAGCAATCGTGATCGAGCGGATCGGGTGTCGTAGCGGCCTCGACGAGCGACGAGAGCTCGTTTGAACCACGCACGTTATGGGCTCGAGCTCGGTCCAGTGTCGACCGACGTTGCAGATGCGGCTGTTCATTCGCCGCGTCCGTGTAGACGGAGCGCACTCTCTTCCACTCGTCGAGCCACGCGAGAGCGTCCATGCTGTCGTCGTCGCCATGGGACACAGCGCCATTACCTCTTGTGCAAGTCAAGCGAGTCAAGCGGCAGCTTCCAGTTGCTGCAGAGCATCGCTTCGTGCTCGAGGTCCTGCAGACGCTGGCCGACACGCTGGCAATTGCAAGCACCAAGCAGAGGAACCAAGCAAAAAGGAGATGACGTGGCAAGCCAGCGAGACGGAACCAAACCGGAAGTGGGTTGCCTCCGCTGGCCCAGGACATACTACAAACGCGAGGGGCTGAACACAGCCACCGAAGCGCGCGCGACCAAGAGGCGTCATCTTCCAGCCTCTCTTGGCACTGGCTGCTCGTCGATC